CTGGACCTCCTGGGTGCTGCAGGCCAAGAGCTGAGCAGTGTTCACTGGTGTGTTAATGCCTGTGCTTCGCTGAGGGGCTTCAGGAGTGGGATTTGAGGGACTTGGGGGCCTTTGACAGCATCAGAGCTCACTGGAGCAGTGGAAGCAGGTGGGTGTGGTGGGATCTGCTGGCTGGTCAGGGCTGTAGGAGTCACTGGGTTTCACAGCTGCCCTTGGCCACTCCATTTCAGGCACTGGAAAAGAAAGGAATCAGCCACTTGGATGAGAAGGACCTGAAGGAGAGAAACAAGCGAATCCAGGAGGACAATCGCCTGGAGCTGCAGAAGGTAGGATCAGATGCCGCTTCCCTCAGACCATCCAACAGAGAACCTTGTGGCTAGGCCAGTTCTCCCAGTTGCTCACCTGAAAGCCCCCTTGTTCTCATTAGGGGTGCCCATAGGATGCAGGATTGGGGGGGGGGGGGGCACAGTAGATTTCTGCTGTTCCAGGGTGCGAAGACTACTCTTGGGGTTCAGTCCAGCTCAGGAGGTGCTGAGCAGGACAAGTGCCAGCTCACAGCACCGAGACACGGTGTCACGTCTGCGGTGGCCTCACATCTCCCTCTGCCCGGGCAGGTGAAGCAGCTGCGCCTGGAGCGAGAGCGGGAGAAGGCGATGCGGGAGCAGGAGCTGGAGATGCTGCAGCGGGAGAAGGAGGCAGAACACTTCAAAACCTGGGAGGAGCAGGAGGACAACTTCCACCTGCAGCAGGCCAAGCTGCGGTAGATGTGCGGCTCCGCGGGGACAGGCCCAGCAGGGAGCAGGGGATGGCAGGCACCGATCGCTGTCCCTTTCCTCTAGGTCCAAGATCCGGATTCGGGATGGGAGAGCGAAACCCATTGATCTTCTGGCCAAGTACATCAGTGCAGAGGATGACGACCTGGCTGTGGAAATGCACGAGCCCTACACCTTCCTGAACGGCCTGACCGTCTCCGACATGGAGGATCTGGTGGAGGACATCCAGGTACCAGCTCTGCCACCCCTGTGCTCAAGGCTTCTCCCTCTATGGCTCTGCTTCCCTGCCTGTGGTGTGGAGCAGGGGCCTGATGTCCTGCTTGTCTTCTGCCTGCAGGTTTACATGGAGCTGGAGCAAGGGAAGAATGTGGACTTCTGGAGGGACATGACCATCATCACTGAGGATGAGATAGCCAAGCTCCGCAAGCTGGAGGCCTCTGGGAAAGGAGGACCAGGTAAGTGGGAGGGCAGAGCCTGGTGTGGGTGTCAAGGGGAGTGTGAGTGGTGGGTTGTAGGGTCTGCTGTGTGCGCTGGGGTTCAGAGGAGCTCTCTGGGATCTGCTGGATGGAGGCTGTGGATCTGCTTCCACTGTCAGGCCTGGCTGAAGGCAGGTTGAGTGCTCCAGACCAGCTGGTTGCCCTTGTCTGTCCGTCCAGGAGAGCGTCGGGATGGCGTCAATGCCTCGGTCAGCTCCGATGTGCAGTCCGTGTTCAAGGGGAAGACGTACAACCAGCTGCAAGTGCTGTACCAGGGCATTGAGAGCAAGATCCGGGCAGGAGGCCCCAACCTGGACATTGGGTACTGGGAGAGTCTGCTGCAGCAGCTGAAGGCTTACATGGCTCGGGCCAGGTAAGAGCAGGGGCTGTCCCTTGGCCAGGGCTGTGGGAAGGGGCAGCACAGACCCTGCTGTGAGTAGAGCTGGGTTGGGGGGGACACAAACCCAAAGTCTCCAGTGGAGGGGTCTTAAGCTTTTCTGAGTGGGGGGTTGTCCCGAGAGGAGAGAAGAGCTGGGGACAGTCCCTTCTCCAGCAGCAATGTTTACAGTGAGGTTTCTAAGAGGGAATCAAACTGAAGGGTTATTTCGCCCCAAACCTTACAAACCTCAGCGGATTTCCAGCTGATGTGGTGGGTGTCAGAGCTCTGGGAGGTGTGGGCACGAGGGGGTTCTGCTCGGTGGGACCTGAGAGCTCCTCTTGTCCTCACAGGCTGCGGGAGCGGCACCAGGATGTGCTGCGCCAGAAGCTGTACAAGCTGAAGCAGGAGCAGGGTGTGGAGAGTGAACCACTCTTCCCCATCATCAAGCAGGAGCTGGCCTCCCCCAGCGACAGGTAGGAAGCCCTTCCCTTGGGCAGCATCTAGGGCTCTCCCATGGGACAGCCGGGGCAGAAGATGCAGCCTTGTGCTCCCATCCTTCCATAGGCAGACCTCAGGTGAGCAGAAAACAAGGGTACCATCCCCGTCCCAGTCCTCTCTTCTCTCTTCCTTGCAGGCTGGATCCAGAGGAGATGGTACAGCCAGGGCCA